AAATGTTTATTTTTAACAACGCTTTTGCGATTACAGTTAGAGCAGCTGTAATAACCGTTGTGCTTGCTTTATGTAACTTTTTGCTGGGAAATCTGCGATTACAATATCCAGGATTGCCTTGATCGTTTTTCTCAAACTTTGTGCCCGTTGATGTCAGCACGCCCAATTCTGACAGGTATTCGTGGACATCTCCGGGTTGGGGTGTACCAAAGAACAATACAATCAGGAACACACGTGATAACGGTGTTATTGTGCATTTCAAAATCGGCCATAGTTGTACAGTGGAGTTCCTGAATCGAGACAAACCGTCAGTTTATAGCCGCAGATTAAAGACCGGCACCTCAGTGGATTCCACCATATCTATAACACGCCGAAGGCACTCCTACAGGCTGAAATCTATATAGCTGCCACCGGTGATTTTCCTCTTTGGGGTTACAAGTGGAGTACTCATTAATGTACGAGGATCCTCAGGGATATCGTTGTTTAATAACCTCAAACCCTTTAACACAAACGATATCCTTCAGGGACAGTTAACTTCAATGGTCATCTGGCTTGCAACAAACCGAACGGATAGTTTTACTGCGTTTTTATTCTCAATTTTGTTACAACCTGTTTGAATTCCTACAAAATATTGGCCATTTATTAGGGATAATGATTACGTTCAAGTCTATGGAAACAATGATTTATCCTCATAGTAACTGATTCACTAAAAGCTTGTTTTGTGGCACATAGTTGAAAGAGGACAGTGGCGTACATCTTTCCAAATAAATATTAGTGAGTCACTGGCTTACTCATTCACCGTCGACAACTTCGATTGTTCTTGCACTATGTTATTCTTAGTTATCGTTTTAGGCCTAAATGGTTGCTGATGTTTGTTTGTCAGAAACGGTCGCTAATATTCGTTCACGTTCCTTCCCGATATCCGTTCCAAGGAAGTATAAACAAGATTTGGGATTGTAGCAATGTTGAAAGTGAGTTATTGCTAGTTTTGGCTGCAAGTTTAACAACGGTAGCGGATATCCAAAAGTAGATGATCTAATCAAAGTAGAGGAAGCATGCAATACAGAGCTCATCGTGGGAATTATGTCGGTCCGGTCTTTTCGAGCTCATTAAAAACACAATAATAATAAAAGTGAAATTTAATCCTGAAAATTTACGAGTTGCAATATCTGATTGAAGAAACTTTCCCTGGAAGCTCACTATCGCCAAACAATGGCGATATATGCTAAATCTCGACGGTACACTTGACTGAAACCGGTCAAGAAGAAGGGTCGTTATGTTAAAAGGGAAAGCACAACTGTGGCCTAGCTTTTGTAATAATTCTACGTGATCAGGGGCTTATCCGATATCTGAATCTTGTTGGCTCTGATAAGTATGCCATGTTTATGTAATCCTGTCCTGATAGTCCTCAATTACACAGGACTGGTTAGAAACTGAACCTGTCCTGCTGCTAGTGACACCATCGTCGGGTGAAGGTGCTTCTGATCCGTAATCTAACGGTGATGTGCAGCTTGAATGAATCTAGCAGGAAAGGTANGAAAGGTAGAAAAAAGCAAGAAGGCAAGAAGAGAAAACTACCTTTGCGAAATTATCGATTGAACAACCACTACATCCTTCTCTAATTACGGCAGTAAGCAATAATTAAATCGGGAACTCAATTTGGAAGACAGCTAGGGTGGTTTATAACACATTCTCTATCCAAAATCAGTAAAAAAAACCTCGTTGATATTTAAAAACTGCAGATTTATATTCAGCTCTGTTATATCAGACAAACATCACCGCCTAAGATCACGTTTTCGTCTCCACGGTGCAGTTCGTGAGGAGCCAGGAATTTTCCCAAAACATATTTTTTTGATAACAAAATGTATCAATGTAAACTGACTAAACCGAAAAAATTCCTATGACAATTTGAGTTTATATATGATGATGGACTGACAAACACCTGATGAAAACATAATAATCCCGGCCGGAATATTAAAACAACTTTTCGATTAAACTAAACCTAAGTTCGGTTATGCACTGATCAGTGAATTGCGTCTGAGAGATGTGTGTATTTGTATTCTGGATCCAATAAACCTATTCAAGATCATTTATGCTAACACCGATCCCCGCGACTGCTTAGGTTTGCGGAGTCGGTTGCAATCAGGAAATGGAAACCTGGTCTGTGTGTGTGTGTGTGTGTGTGTGTGTGTGTGTGTGTGTGTGTGTGCGAAAAGAACTATCCGTCACACTAACACTGCCATGGCAGTGGTAAAAGTGTGATGATTCGTCCTTGTCGTATTCTTGTGTAACCTAATGTGCCGTTCAACGATATAAACCGTCGTTTTCGGCCATATTGTACCAGCTGAGGTGCAGCGTAATCTTCTTTGGCATAAATCGTCCGACCTAGCTTTGTTGTGCTCTCGTTAAGTTTGTCTCGGGAAATAAGTGTTTCAACAATGGCTAAGTTAGTTTTTCTCAAAAGCACCTCGGGATGCTTATTATCAGGTATGCTGTAATAATCAAAACGCTTCAACCGTTATAATTTTGTGGCAATCCATGCTTCTTTGTTATGGTAGGGTGTGAACTCCCGGTCATGGATGGTGGGGGGCGGGTTGACAGAATAATTCGGAGAGAAATTAAGTAAATAAATGTCTTTTTACTTCCTTTTTATTTATTGAATATACAAATGTACAGCCAGCATTCAAGAATCGGGCCTCGGCCATACAGAAGTTGCCTGGGAAAATGCAGAAATAGAGAAGACGGGCGGCGGTGGAGCATTTCGGACCCGGGATACCCAGATCGCAAGTTAGTGACTTAACCACTTGGCCACCACCAGTAATTCATGGACCATGTGCTCTACAAAGGCTTTTGAGATTCCGGGATCTCAATAGTTTGACCAGATGGTCCCAGTCCTGCGAAAGTTTTTTAAATACCCATGAATCCGTCAATTAATTTGATATCCTACCACCTTCCGGATATCCTTTCATAGACACCTGTGTAAACCGGATTTCGGAGTTCTGGTTTCTTCCGTAACTGTCAGAGCGCACGCTGGAGACATCTGTGCCTCTGGTTATAGGAAATTTAGAACCTGTTACAATGAGCGCCTGCGAAACAGAATTGTGTTCCGAAGTGTACAGATGTGTTTCCAGTGATACTATCTGTATGCGGCCTATTGTTTGTGATGACATGAGCTCATGAATAGAGGCATACTTCCATCTCTGCGAGTAGAACCAAACAGGTGTCCATAAGCTCACATTGCTAAAGCTTCAATCAACGTGATTACCTTCGACGTATATGCTTTCGTGCAAGGCGATCAATTTCTGGAATGCTTTTCTATCGGATGTGGTGAATGAGGCCTAATCAGTATTCGGTTATATCCTGTCGCTATCTGCACATTGGGAAAAACAGTGCGAGATTTTTCTATCCAGAACACAACATCAAACTTGGCAGTTTCAAATCTCCGTGTTATTGAAATGATCAGCAGTGGCAACCATAGTCCATGCACATCTGATTATTCAGTGAAATTCATTGAGATTCATACGGAACAATCCTATCTATGTATTCAATCCCAGAAGAGCAAGATGAAGACAAATGAGCCCATCTGTACAATAAATGATAAATTTACATCTTAATTTGTCACCCAAGTGAATCTTTGACAAGGTATCACACGTGATTATTTTGGTCAAGAATATTTTGAATTATTATAGCGAACTCGACTATGCTCTGGTTAGTATTCACGTAACGATTATGCAATACACGCAATGATTGGATACATTAAATAATGTGGCTATGCGTCGTTAAAAGTACCCTGGGTTTGAAGTTCAAATCGCAGAATAGATGGTAGATATATACGCTACTGAGTAGGTCGCAGGAAAGTAAACCTTTAGCGTATTGTTTACCAAGTGTGTGGTTGACTGGTCACAGTGACGATTGGTCTTGAAAATGAGGCCTGTACAATGATCAGTCCAAATCTTTATCGATTACCGCTGATTGGATCGCGCTGAGGTTTCGTGCATCGTAAATTCGCCCCCCGTTTGACCTAGTTTGTCGAGATAGATAGATGGATGGATCAATCCCTGCTTGATTGGCATTCCGATTATTCGGGAGGCGAATCCCTGTGCTTTAAGTGAATTTATGGAATAATGATTGTTAACAAACCGAATGAGTACAGCTGTACCACCCTCTCCCTTTGGATTTTGAATAATAATATGTGACGCGTTGACAAATCATTGTTTGATACAAAAGGTATCCAATAGTGACTTATATACACCGTGAGTTAGTGCATCGTACTGTAATCAATGATTTGTGCAAACAAGTATGCCTATATTTCAAAGAAAAGAAACTTTATCCATCGTGACATTGGGATAACGAATAATAAAAAGGTCAAATACATCAATGATAAAACGTAAGTAAAAGATCTTCCTAGACAGTAAGCTTGGATTAGCCCATTCGATTGTTACGAGGCACCAGGAACTCTTGACGATCCAAGCAGGATGAAGCAGCTGTTTAGTGCTCTTTGTCGATTATCACAAACATTTCCATCGCATCTTCTTCCTAGGTTTCAGATTAGTTCGTTTAGATCCTTCCTCTGTGCCAGTTAGAGTTCGAGCCAAATATGATGCTGTTGAATTAAGATGAATTTTTATGAGGGAGGATAAGCAGTCAAAATTGAATTGGATTTTAGCGTGAGAATGACAATTAAAGAGGCAGAAATTGATTGGGTGATTAGGGCCGTTAAGAATCTTATGGTTGAAATTGTCACACGAAGTAACATGAAGACCAAACAGTCTTGTTATCAGAGCTTTCATGGAAAGAAAAAAAGGCCTAATAACCGACAAATCTAGGTAAAAAGTAATAAACTCCTTGTCAGACAGGTCAAGGAAAACCCCAGACCATATAGATCATCTTATTTGTTGTCATATCTGGTCCATAAGATACCATTCCGTTACTTTCAGGTCGTGTGTATACATACCCATGGTATTTTGTATCCACACATTCGGTTCTAGTTTCCAGTCCGAATGCCAGAAGCACTAATGTCGTTGGAACCGGATACACCGCGGACCGATGCGACCGCTGATTCTAGTGGGTTGAGCAATTCCGACCCGATCGATTCTAATCCGATGACCAATCAGTCGTCTCGATTACTCGTGGAGGCGGACGATTTAACCGAGACCGGTGAGGATGTGACCACGGACACGTTGTCCAAAGGTCGTCTAAAGCATGAGCTACGTATGACGCGGACAAATCTGGCCACAAAAGCCATGATTTGGGAGAACAGTGAAAAGCTTGCTTCAGCTCGAGAAATGGAACTACAGGTAACATTGTTCACTCCCCGACCGTCACACTGTTCAGTGCACTTTTTTTATGCCCAATCTGATCAAACGACTTATTGCAGAAAAAAAACTACACAATAGGTTTATATTGTTATGGTGCACAAAACTGCAATTGTAGTTCACGCTAGATAGGATCCTAGCAGAAACACTAGTATTGTGAGGTACTACTCACATTTATAAGCCGTATGGTTGGAGTATGCAAAAAGGATGCGATATGAGGTTTCTCATCACGATCGAAATTGAACAAGACTTCCAAGAGGGCGAATTTCTGTGTTCATACTTGTAGCTACAAAAATTACGCTTCTACCGTCGAACCGTTCCAACAATCATTCTTCGTGCCTGGAGGTATCCTGATGATCTGTTCCAGATAAGTTGCTTTGTTGTTTATACAAAACATTATCCATACCCTTACCATTGCTCATAATAACCAACTGTCATTGTGTGGCACTGTCTTGTGGATATAGAACGCTATATACCGGTCCGGTGACTGGTAGAGCAGACAAGAACTGGGAATTTTACCACGTGCACTCATCCACACATTTAGTAAAACAAGGAAAGTTTATATTCCTTATTTGACACGATATGAGTGAAGCTCCGTCTGAAACATCCTTCGGACTGCGAGAAACGCTAGGATCCGGGTACTTTCTTTGTCCTGCACTCGACGAAATTCACCACAGAATTTAGCCCATCCCCTCCGCATTTTTTTTTTGTACTTTAATGAGATCGCAGAATCTGGAAAACACCAAGATCATCATCAACAGTTCAATTTCTTTTCCGACGATAATCAAAATCTTCGTCATTTGCTTATCTTTCCCTGGTAATACCATAAATTTATGTATTGTAGGACGGGAAAAAGGTCAACCATGACTCTAACTGAAATTTGCATATGCGCGGCACTGTTCTATTGAGATATCGTTCTTTCGGATCAACCATAGTTTTAGCCGGTGAAAATGGTGAACATTTAATCGAACCCCTGTAGCACTATAAAGTCCGGATATTTTCGATTCGTCGGATAGTGAATGTGGTCCCTGGTGCTCCCAACCTAACTTGCCGCGGAATATCCCGGCTGGAAGGACAGTAAAAAAAAACTGCACAGGTGGGAGTGTCTGTGGATTGTCACTGAGCCACTTCTTTCGCAACCAATGAATCATTTCTCCAAATTCATTAACTACATACGAGTATATGCCCAATTGGGAATAGTCGAGTGTACAGCAAACACTCACTTTTCATTATGCGACCGACTGTGCAAAACGAGACAATGTTGTTCAGTTGATTCCCCGGTTTCCACACTGATATTTGTTGCTCATTTCCCGTATCACTAACTCGTGATAAATTCAACCACCCGCAACCCTACATTGTGTCACAACTCTACGGCGCCCTATTTCGCAGGGAACAACTAACTAGTTGATGGTTTAAAATAAAAGCTTGAAAAACATATATCTATACCACTTGATCATTTCCCTGTGAATCTTGAATATCATTTTTACACTTCGAAATGATTAAATTTTTTGTTCAATCGAACCGTAGCCAGTAGATTGACGAAGATTGCTCCATTCATTGGCTAAATAACGTGCACTGGTAATTTGACTAGACTGGTTATGCGGATTTCTGTAGAGCAAGTATATTTCGGTGACATCATCATTGACAGCAGCCCACAACTATTCATCATTCCAGGCTTTCACGGCACATCGTGCGATCTGATCATACCGTCCTGGTGAACAACACACGTATCATTGTGGGTGCTGGCACAGCGCGTTTGCATGCTTTTTCAACAAGCGGAATGCACATTAAAAGCCGGATCATCTCTGCCCCCTTCACTGTTCTATGGGTGCAAGCACTTAAACTCTCCTGGCCCACTTCGACCACTCCAACACATGCAATCAATTGAACTTTTGAAACTGTGATCAATTTCACACAGGCACACATGCACGCATGATTGAAACGGAAGCTAAACCATTAGGACTCCAATCTCTCATTCCTTGTTTATTCTTAGTCATACTTAACGTTATGTAATGACACCATTACGAATAGCTGAACACGAGCTTGTTCGCCACGTTATTGTTCTCAACTTGTCTTATTGTTGTTGTTCTACGTTTAAGTACCAAAAATTAGAATCACTCCAAGCGTGCATCAAAAGTTATGGAGTCGGCATGGATAAGCAACTTTTCAAGGAAGGAATTCGTCGTGCATAGAGCAAATAAAGCGTGAACTGAGAAGCTAGGAAGCACGGTACAGCTGCTTCAACCTGGTTGGGTCTCATCAACAGTGTCCGAATCCATCGATCCAACTGGGGATCCAACCCAGGACTTCACAGGCAGAACGCAAGTGTGCTACCCCCTCGAACACCCCGGGGCAGTTGATCAGACCGTTTTTCATTTTCCATTTACGCGATATAGCGCAACTCATCTTTGCGAGCTTGTTGCGGGAATCGTGTATCGCTCATCTCGGCACTAGTCTCTCCGGGGTTATGACTCGGTTGGAAATTTTCACTTCACAATTTATTTACTCTATGCACGAAGAATTCGTTCTTTGAAATTGGATAAAATCCTCCATTACTCTCCTAATCCATTTTTATTCCTGAAAATGAACGCAACACCAGTTTATGGTAATCGAACTGGCAACAATTGATTTCCAATAGATGGGAAATAGCACACACACTACAACTGGAAAATCGAGACCGCAGCAGACACGCGAAGAACATGACGAAGAAGAAGAGGGCACAGACTGGAAATTGTATTTTGAACAATTTGATACACTCTACAATCTATTTTTAGCAACCAAAGAGAACTCAACGCGGCCCGGATAATCATCATAAAGCGTAATGTTTTCTTTTTTTATCCAACTATGATACTGTTGAAATACTGGATCCAGATTTCACGTGCTTTTTCCGGTAATAAACTGCAATCTACTATGACCAATCATACCATTTCGTGCATGCTAATCATGCCAACCAGACACTTTGACTTTTAATTTTTACTTCATTTCATTACATATATAATGGTACAATAAGACAATCAAATGACGATCACTCTGCCCACAGAGAATGGGGGACTGCATACGACAGTCTATGTGATCATTAATATATGGCCATATATACATATATATATGTATATATATATATATTGGAAGTATAGTTTATATATATCAAAGCTCCTTACACATTTAAACGTTCATATATTTGATGAGTTGTGAGAAGAATCCAAAGGATCCAATCTCCCGTCTGGTTCAATCACTTGTCATGTGCCAAACTACACGGAATTTGACAGTCATAAAAATGCCATTTGTGTCCTAATTAGCCAAATGAGTGACTGTTTATATTGGTTCACCGGAGCAGCTGTCACTCGACCTTACAAACTGGACCCGTGTAAAGAGATCGTCCTTTTCTCTTCCCACCTGTAATGATTACGCTCCCTGTGGTTGCACCCAATCCGGTTGGGTTTTTTTTTCGAACTTTGCCCTACACCCACCCACCCTCAGTACTGATTCAT